TAATATATTTTGTGTCAGTTTTAGTAATTTGAGCATTTCAGTTATTTAGCAAAGCAGCATATCTCATTTTTATTTAGTAGTTGATGTACTAGAATAACTAAAACTGAAATAAAGATGAATAAAAACTATATAGACATTAAACACATAAATGAAAAAATACATGCACGAATGATAAACAACAACTTTGCTAAAACTTGAACTAAAATAAAAATAAAAATGTAAATATATAAAAATGAAATCATTAGAAAAAAACCCAGAATAATAAAATAATTAATACTTATTCAGAATATTAATAATTACAACATTTAAATAATTTAAAAATATAAAAACTAATAATAAAATAGTAAAATATAAAAACTCATTCAAAATATTAATAACGTTTCTCAACTGTCAATGATACTAAAATAAAATAAAATATTAATTAGACTGTGTCCATTTCTTGGCCTTCATTCCTTTTCCATACATTGCATTCTCTTTCTCTCTCTCTTTTTATTTAAAGCTACTTTATTGAGTGACTGTACAGAGCAGGAGTCGTGAATTGATTTCATTTCTTGTGGAGTGGAACCATTTAGCGCAGATGGAGAAAGACGTCCCGCTGCTCTGGGATCCAGCCTCATAATTTAAGAGGAATTGTATTCAGCTTCTGTATTCTTTAACGGAATAGGAAGCGATTGAGGTTTGGTGAACGGCTCAACAGTTAGCACACTTCAGTCCAATCACACGGCTTTGTTGAGTTTATTTAACGCCGGCGCTCTGCTGTGTTTGCAAATAACAACTTCTTCTTGTCAGACTCCAAATCATTTGTTAAAGCAAGCAAACTCTTGTTCAAGGTGCAAATGACATCAGGCTTCATCGGTGTGGGCCGACGGCTTCAGGACGGTCCAGTGGAACCGCAAACTACAAAATGCATTGCTTTTTCATTTGCATTCGGTAAACATGGAGTATGAGAGGAAAACAAAGACAAATTGCAAAATTATGCAGAAAAACATTTATGTTTTGTCTGGAAAATAAATGCAGGGAGACTGTAACAGCAGAGGTCATTTTTATTTGTGGATTTTTGTCTTATTTATTCATGTGAAATATACTGCTTTAAAGGGTTAGTTCACCCAAAAATGAAAACTCTGTCATTAATTACTCACCCTCGTGAATGTGGTAGTTACCTTGCTGTCTATGCAGGGTCAGAGAGCCCTCAGATTTAATCAAAAATATCTTAAATTGTGTTCCGAAGATGAACGAAGGTCTTACGGGTTTCGAACAAAACGAGGGTGAGTAATTAATGACAGAATTTTCATTTTCGGGTGAACTAACCCTTTAATAATGATCATTTTGACAGGTTCGATTTGATTTAAATTCAGCTTTGCATCACAGGATTAAATTGGCTAACTAAATAGTAGTGCTGGGCGGTATACCGGTTCATACCGAATACCGGTGTTTATTTTTGTTATGATATACATTTTTTAAATGCCGCTTAAACAATGTTGGGAACGCGACACTGTTTGAAAGCTGTCTCTTTTCACTGTTGCTCTGTGGTGAGGGAACAGCTGCATGTGTTACTAAGCGTGAAAGTTCAGAAACTGAAGCTGTAGAACTAATAGAACGAGATGACACAGAAGAACTCATCCACAATATCCACACTGACCTCCACAAATATCCAGCGCCCGCTGCCATCAGCTCCCGCGTCTCACACACACCAGCGCGACTTTAGCACTAGATTTAGCAACTTTCAGACCCTTTTTGCGGCTTTTTTTCCATAGAATATTCATACTGACAAACCTAGAGACTTTTCTGGATAAAGCTTAGCTATGGTTCAGTTGGGTGTTTAGTCACTATTTAGTGTGGTATTTTTTGACAATATTCACTCATCATGACGGTAAAATAGGGCATTCTAAGTCAATATACTGCAGTATTTCCTCTCAATCAGTAGAAGATATGGTTAACACCCGCTCATGCATGAAAATGTCATGTACCGTGAAACCGTACCAAAATACCATGATATACATTTTTGGTCATACCGCCCAGCACTACTTTTTCTGCAGCAGTTTATTTCTGCTACAAAAGTCGTGATACTGCCTGCTACAGGTCACTGCAGGTACTGCGTTTTGTGCGTTTCGCCCTTACTCACCCAAACTTGTCAACAAGGCTACTTTATGTGAACGCGAGTTCCTTAGCAAGTATTTGTGAATCAGGCGTTTTATATATGAGCCGACTGCAGCCCAAACCAGCACATCCAGTGCAAAAAAAGGCTTTGGATTTTTCATTTTACTTAATATTATTTTATTTATCCATTATACTGAAGAGACCTTTTTGAAGGATATTGTTTTTTTAGTTTTTTGTAATTTTGAGGTGTGCCATTTTATTTTGGTTTTAGAAAATAAACGTGATTGCTCTCCTCACAAATCAACTCTTTCTTGTTTTTGTTTCGTGCTCTCTGTGCCTTGCCCTGGACTTTTATGTCACTTCCTGTCTCCCGTGGTGTTTGTAGTCAGTTTGTAGTCCGTTTGTTCATTGGTTCCCCTTGATTAGTCTTCCCAGGTGTGTCTTATCTTGTTAAGCTTGTTAGCCCCCTGTGTGTTTATAGAGCCCTAGTTTTTTGTGAGTTGTCGAATGTAACGGTTGTCTGTTTGCCAGTCATTCTGTTCTTTGTTCCCTTTGGTTTTTGGCTTATTGTTTTTCCATTAATACCAGCACATAGATCCTTGCCTCTGCCTTTTCCGCAGCTTCTCCACAACGTTACAGTTTTTCACTGGCATGTCTCTTTGACTAGTGCATTTTTTGAGCCTATATTTAGTATAAGTAAAATACTTAAGTTAGGGTGACCATACGTGCCATTTTCCCAGGACGTGTCCTGGCCAGGATTTCTATATTGCCTAAAATATCTAGGTTTTAGCTTTGTTTGCGTGTGCAGACTGATCGGTGTATGACATCAAAATACCATACAGACGGCTCCTTATGCTTTCAAAATGCTCTCGAGGTATTTTGATGTAATACACCGATCGGTCTGCACACGCAAACAAAGCCAAAACCTAGATATTTTAGGCTATATAGAAATCCTGGCCAGGACGCGTCCTGGGAAAATGGCACCTATGGTCACCCTACATAAGTACTGTTAAAATCAGATACTCTAAGACTTTTACTCAAGTTGTTTTGGAATTGGTGACTTGTAACGTGTAATGGAGTAATTTTCACTGCAAGGTATCTGTACTTTTACTCAAGTATGGTTTTTAGGTACTCTTTACACCTCTGACTATATCTGAAATAGTTTGAGCTGCAGTTCAGTTGCTGACAGTTCAATAGAAATCAGTTGAAAGCATATTATCAGTATATATTGTAATAAATATCTGAGAAGTGATTGTTGCATGTGATTGTATTAGTCTGTACAGAGTGATAGTCGATGTAAAAAGAGCAGATGAACACAAAACAATTACATAGTCAGAGTATTATATAATCACAATTTACAAATTATTTACTTCTCTATATATCAATGATTTACATTTAGTTTTGTATTTGTATATTTACACTTAAATCTATGTATTGCAGTTTGCATTTATATACATTTACAGCTATAACTGCATACTCACGATTTACATTTATGCATTCAGATTTATAACTATATTCTGATTTTTTTTAGTTTCATACTAATATTTACGTATTCAGATTGACTTCTATATATTCTGATTTACATTTATATATTAAAATGTATAACTATATATTCAGATTTACAGATTTTATGTAATTATTTATAATTGTTTTACATAATTATCGGCTCTTCATAAACATTAAAAATAAATTTTAATTTACATTTATTTATTTTATATCCACACAAAACCACATATGTGAGCCTGGAGCACAAAAGCAGTGTTAAGTCGCTGGGGGATATTTGTAGCAATAGCCAACAATACATTGTATGGGTCAAAATTATACATTTCTCTTTTATGCCAAAAATCATTAGGATATTAAGTAAAGATCATGTTCCATGAAGATATTTTGTAAATGTCCTACTGTAAATATATCAAAACTTAATGTTTGATTAGTAATATGCATTGCTAAGAACTTCATTTGAACAAATGTAAGGATGATTTTCTCAATATTTCGATTTTTTTGCACCCTCAGATTCCAGATTTTCTAATAGTTGTATCTCAGCTAAATATTGTCTGATCCTAACAAACCATACATCAATGGAAAGCTTATTTATACATCTCAATTTAAAAAAATTGACCCTTATGACAGGTTTTGTGGTGCAGGGTCACATATGCTATTTACATTTATGCATTCAGATTTATAACTATATTCTGATTTTTTTTAGTTTCATACTAATATTTACGTATTCAGATTGACTTCTATATATTCTGATTTACATTTATATATTAAAATGTATAACTATATATTCAGATTTACAGATTTTATGTAATTATTTATAATTGTTTTACATAATTATCGGCTCTTCATAAACATTAAAAATAAATTTTAATTTACATTTATTTATTTTATATCCACACAAAACCACATATGTGAGCCTGCAGCACAAAAGCAGTGTTGAGTCGCTGGGGGATATTTGTAGCAATAGCCAACAATACATTGTATGGGTCACAATTATACATTTCTCTTTTATGCCAAAAATCATTAGGATATTAAGTAAAGATATTTTGTAAATGTCCTACAGTAAATATATCAAAACTTAATGTTTGATTAGTAATATGCATTGCTAAGAACTTAATTTGAACAAATGTAAAGATGATTTTCTCAATATTTCGATTTTTTTGCACCCTCAGATTCCAGATTTTCAAATAGTTGTATCTCAGCCAAATATCATCCGATCCTAACAAACCATACATCAATGGAAGCTTATTTATTCAGCTTTCAGATGATGCATACATCTCAATTTAAAAAATTTGACCCCTGTGACAGGTTTTGTGGTGCAGGGTCACATATGCTTGTATTGTGAAAACGAAACGAATGAGTATAAAATGTAGATGTTTTTATATTTTCTCTCTTTTACTCAGAACATCCTGCTGTACTCAGACCTCCAGGAGTCGACCTTTGACCTGCGGAAGCTGCCGACTCACTGCTTTGATGCCATGGATCATTTCGGCAAGTGTTTCCTGATCATGAAGCTGAAGCACGAGCAGGAGATGGATGCGAGAGCGGGAAAGGACTGGAAAGCTGTGCGTGTGGATCTGGTGGCTCCGCCGCTGGAGCGATTCACTTACGCCCTGCTGGGATGGACAGGATCCACGGTACGAGCACAGATATCTGCACAACCAGTCAGTGCCAGGACTCGATCACCCAAAACATCAAGCACGATCCTGACACATCTTTCACATGCTCAGAACAAAATATTTAGGCATAAATTTAAGATTTATATATTTGAATTGCATATCAAATGTCCATGCATTTGGAGCACACAGTTTTAACATTAATGAACTACTAAACTTAATGTGATGCATATTTGTAATAAAATAAAATAAAATGAAATTAAATGAAATAATCATTGCATAGTGTATTATTAGTTATTTCATTTTATATAAATCATAAATAATCATAATTTTTAAATGTATAAAATTATATATATGTATACAGTTAGTTGGTTAATTAGTTTGTTGATAATCTGCATGAAATTATTACTACATATTGCAGTGTACACTTAGAAACTACTAAAAAGCAATAATAATAATGTTCATTTAAATTCATTATTATTTTTTGATTAAAGAAATTTTGTATGAACTTAAAAAAATTGTAACTAAGAAAAAATAATAATAATATTTTATTTTGCCGTTTATTTCCAGCCCGAGCAGCCGTGACCTAGAGGAGCTTTAGATAATGACAGAAAACATTAAAACCACTGTATGTTTGAAGAGCTTAATGGAGGAGTGTTTAAAAAGGTCTGCTGGCCACCATAAGAGTCTCTAAAGAGATTCATGATGCTTAATTCCATAAACAACAACATCAGTGCACGGTAGTGTGTTCAGGTTCACTTTAAATCTCATTTAACTGCTTTATTTGCTCAAGGGAAATATATAAACAAGAAATAACAAACTCCATAATATTGCAGACGCTCTACAGTTTAATGGCTTAATTCTTTAGATTATTCTATTTGTGTACGAGCGGGAACTCACTGCGCTCTGGTAATATTATCTGTAACTGATCAGACTGTCCGATATTATAATGCACAATGTGATTTGCACAAATAGCATGGGTTCCTGGATCAATATCAACATTCATGTGCTGCATTTAATCTCATTGCAGTTTACAAAAACATCTGAGATATTAAAAATATCCCATTTGGGGTTTTATTTTATATTTCCAATGTGTAACAATAAATGTGTATATATATATATATATATATATATATTACACTGTTTTAACATTAATAAATGTAATGTTATGCATATTTGTATGTCATGCATAAATGAAATGGTAATGGTAATTTCTGTAATAGTCCTAATAAATGGAATGGATTTTAAATACAAAATAACCAGCATTATTATATATTTAGAGTTTATTTCGAATTTTTAATAAATTAAATATAACTTATTTATAAAGAAATGTTATAAACAATTTTATGAATATATAATTTTTAATGAAAAATAAAAACATTTTTATTATTATCATTATTATTATGTGTAATGCATTTTGAATATTATTATTTTACATAAAATTATATTTTTAATACAATTACAAATATATTTTTTCTATATGAATCTAAATTTATTGCTGTGATGTGCAGCTGTATTTTCAGCATCATTACTCCAGTCTTCAGTGTCACATGATCTTCAGAAATCAGTATAATATTTTGATCTGTGAACAAAAAAATTCAGGTTTGTTGAACAATTTTTTTCAAACTAACTTGGCTGTATGAAGGTGCCATTAAATGCATGAAATTACCATGTTAATGTGCAAAGAAGATGGTAAAACCATGGCACTCTTAAATTAAAATTTCAATTAAAATATATGAAATCGGTTTTCCGTTCTTTCTCCAGCTGTTTCTAAGAGACCTGAGACGGTTCGCCAGATTGGAGCGAGGAAAACTGCTGGACAATCACGCGCTGTATGACAAAGCAACGGTATGGCACACACACACACACACACACACACACACACACACACCCACCCCTCCTCATGACTGCACTGAACACAGCTACTGATCGGAAATAGAATATGTGAGAAATTGCAGCACTCAGTATGACGACTGTGGGAGCCAAGGTCTTTCAGGTCATTAAAAGACCTTTTATAAGAATCACCGGCTGATTCTATTCTCCAGGTTTCATGTGCATTCAACAGATCGGCATGAAAAATACAGGCTTTTTATCATTATATTTGTCATAAGTTGAAATGTATTCTTGACAAGCTTCTGAGATTTTCCTTTCGATTATGAGCTGTGCTTCCATGACATGAAAAAGCTGGGAATTGTTGAATATGGAGGCCGTATTTAGAAAGTCAAACTAAACGGCTGACGTGTGGCAAGATCTTTGTCTTCAGATGGTTTACAAGCAGATTTAGCATTCAGTATTTTTATTTTCTGTAGAGAACAGCAGATGTTCCTGTCTCTGCTTTCATCCCATTTAGTGTTGATTGAGTTCAGAGAGCAGGAGTTCCATTAAACTTCCTAGAGGTCCAGTCTGTAATTTAATTCGTTTTTTTCTGAAAAAAGAACAAAAGCGATTAGATTAGCGTCTCTACTCATCCGAGTGAATCTGGGCGATTAGACGAACGGATCTTGATGTTGATGACTTGTCTCTATGAGTTAGTCTATGGTTTCTGTCCGCTGTTCACATGAATAAACAGTGAGTTGATGATTTTTTTCTGCAATTATGATTCTTGTGTAAATGCTTTGTGAATCTTTTGATGATATATGTTGCTTCAGATGCTCTTTTCTCCATGTGTAGGAAAAACATCATTATAATTAAGGCATTTTGTCTTGATGCAACTAAAGCAAACGCTTCTCTAGAGCTCAAAACACTGGCAGGTGTGTGTGTGTGTGTGTGTGTTAGTTTTAGACCAAATTTGGAACTGAAGAACTGGCGCTCTTTCCATTCATGAGTGTGAATTGAATTGAATTGAATTGAATTGGCCACCGCTCACAGGAAGTTGGATTGGAAATATAAATAGATCTGTGTATGTATTGATCTGCGAGGCCTGGAAACTTCAAACTTCAAGGCTTTTGAAACTTTCAAACAAGCCAACATTCACATATTGTTTTTGCTTTATAGTTCAAAATGACAGTCGCATGAATTTATTTTGAATTTCAGTTCATTTTAATTCTGCTTATTTAAATTTACCATTGTGTTTGCTACCCCAATTAAAACTCATTTTTTAATCAGGAATTGCATTGGTATTAAATGAGTGTGACACATGATTGCGTTCATTAGACACATCAGAAAACAATCGGGCTTGTTGCTTTGACAACTGCATAGCAATACCCTAGCAACCACATAGCAACACCCTAGCAAGCGCATAGCAACCACTGGAACGTTGTGACTAGATTATGTTCATCAGTCACATCAGAAAACAATCAGGCTTGTTGCTTTGACAACTGCATAGCAATACCCTAGCAACCACATAGCAACACCCTAGCAAGCGCATAGCAACCACTGGAACGTTGTGACTAGATTATGTTCATCAGTCACATCAGAAAACAATCAGGCTTGTTGCTTTGACAACTGCATAGCAATACCCTAGCAACCACATAGCAACACCCTTGCAACCACTGGAGCATTGTGACTAGATTATGTTCATCAGTCACATCCGAAAACCATCAGGCTTGTTGCTGGGACAACTGCATAGCAACACCCTAGCAACCACATAGCAACACCCTAGCAACCACTGGAACATTGTGACTAGATTGTATTTATCAGACAAATCAGAAAGCAATCGGGCTTGCTGCTGTTACAACTGCATAGCAACACCCTACCAACCACATAGCAACAACAGGCGTGTTGCTGAGACAACTGCATAACAACACCCTAGCAACCACGGGAGCATTGTGACTAGATTGCATTCGTCAGACACATCAGAAAACCTACAGGTGTGTTGCCATGACAACTGCATTAGTAAAACCCTAGCAACCACATAGGAACACCTAAACAACAACTGAATTGTGACTAAAGTGTTTGCATGGGAAAAATAGCTCATGTTTTCTTAAGAACTATAAAAATCTGCTTATTTCTTGAACTCTATTAGGCGCTAGTCACACTTTTCACCTTTCAGTTCTTGTGTTGTGCAGTTAAAATGTAAATATGAGGAACAGACAGTATATCTTGAAATATATGAATGTTTTGAGGAATTATCGCAAATCCCATACATGCTCAAAGGTTATAAAAAGGATCAGAGTAATTTGACCTCATTCAGAAATGCACATATGTAGCATGATGGGGTTTTGGCTTGATTCGGTCCTAAATATGGATTACCACGTTCATATTCTGATGATGGACATTAGAGCCATATGTTAAATAGCTGCTGATAATTTCATCATGTTTATTGTGTTCAGCTCTGGCTGTTAATGTCGGTTTGTTTGTGTGCAATAAATTGCTTTGGTTATTGTGTTCGGATAAAATAAGTCCTCTGCACAGAGATTTCATTTATTAATGCATTTGCACACACAAATAAACACATGCACATTAGCAGACTGACTACCACACACACACACACACGCACACGCACACACACACACAACATACACTTTAATGGAAAACACAACTGCAGTCTGGCGAAAAAAAGAAAAACTGATTTGTGAAATAATTTTTTACAGAGGTGCAAATTAACTGTCGGGCTTAAAAATATATTGGCTTTTTCCCGACAATGACTAATCAAACGTGAGGTCTCGATGGGCGGCAGGCGGCGGCTTCTGGCTTAGTTATGGCACTCGGCTCATATTAACATGCATTGATTTTCCT